CATCATCCGCATACTTTAAAACCTGAGGAAAGTGATATTAAGAAGGACACTGGTGTATGTAATAAATCAATATGGGAAGTAAACTGTGCTCTGATATGAGCCAGAGTAGTTGACAATCGGGTTAGAAGATATTTTCCCCGTTTGTATGTATTTTCTTTAAATGATACAGGCGGATAGTCAGGTGAACCAAAACTAGCGAGACCCAATACGGATTGCTTTCTTTGTAGCTAGTACCAAGATGATCGGTTTAAACGTCTATAGTCGTTAAGCAGCTCGGGACCGTTATGTAACACAATGTTCTAGCAATTGAATCCAGTTTGTGAGATTAACATAGATATGATTGAAGTTGATTTTTTTCTGAACTATTGCAGCAATACAGATCAGAGACGTACACGGATCAAGAAATGGACGTAAATCTTCCGTTTGGAAAATTCGGTCAGAATACATGCTTTCTTCGTCCGATCNTCTTGGGTAGTCTAAATACCGTTCTGCTTTGGTCGTTTGCTACAATAAACAAATTGAATAGATGTGTTCATATCACTTTCGGATGTGATGCCTGTATATTAATCTCAGAAATTTTATTCCTATCAATTTATACGAAATCACATATGCACCTTGTAAGTTCGCTTATTTTACTCTAGATACTCCGTGAACAAAACTGAAATGGAAAACACTAAAAACACACAAATGTATTTCACATAGAATCAAGTAATTCCACAATGCCTATTCACTAAGTGACACTCACAGTTTGCTATTTTGCAGTCCGGCCACAATAGCACCCAGGCTAGGCTGACTCGTCAAACCAGACATACTGTCCACGGCGGCGTCTACCACATCAGCCCCAGCCCAAGCAGCAGCCAACATGCTCGCAACACCAGCCCCAGCGGTGTCATGTGTGTGCAGGTGAATTGGTAAATCCGGATATTTATCCCGGATAGCAGTGACCAACAGTTTGGCGGCCTCTGGTTTCAGCAGACCTAGGCAAAAGTGTTGAAAGAAAATTGGTTTGAATACGTGCTACCCCTTGGAGAAAATGCCTCATTCATATGTATACTTGTAGTGTGCAACTGCAAGTAATTTTTATTTGGTGATTTAAATAGTCAGCACAATAACTGGCATCAAAAGTATTTAATTACTCATGGATTTAGATCAGTTTAAGTTTTATCTATTTCAGTCGCTCTTCTTGCTTGATCCGTAAGCGTAAGCTTCACTTCTTCTAGTGTTACATATACTTGGGGATCAAGTGAATTGACTAAAGGTTATGGAGCTTGTATTTCCTGCACGCCCAGTGATAAAACCAAGGTTTCATGAAAAGATCCCGTTCATGGAATATCCATTGAAGATACTTTTAGTCTGATTGACTAACAAACATTCACGTGGTTGGAAAGAATGCCTGAGGTGACACTTGAGTGGCTTTTCTCATTGAATTTGATGGAATGAGAGCAATGGTTATGGTTTTATGTTAGTGAAACTAATGAACGCTTTTTAACTACCCAAACGGGAAGGTTAGTAAGCAATTTAAAGGTGCATTGAAACTTTGGGATGACAGAACATGTTCTACAACATGTTCAATTAAATTCCTGATCTCAAGAGGCGGACGCAAGAATAACATCCACTTTTCACTTCGCCTGGGAACTAAGTAACTCACACGATCTTTAAATGCTTTCTGCGAATATCTGAAGTTTCCAATCTTTACACTAGCTTCCACGGTAATGAATCGATGAGAACGATTTCAAATCCAGACTAAGTTTGCACAGATGTATCAAGGAATTCATATTACAAAGTAAAAATAAAAGTTTCCTCATGGGCGATCTAACAAAGCTAAAGCTTATCATGCCCCATAGGAGTTTTACAGAATATTTTGAATAAATTCACAAAGAGAAAATAATAATAATAACAATATGCATAATCACTCACAGATGTCGACATTTTAAGTGTTCCAATGCTTTGTCAAGTTGTGGTTTAAATAGTTGAACTGTAGGAGCACACATTACACCGAATGGAAGATAATTCCATACGCCGCACACTCTTACTGTAAACGAGGGATGCCGGCAATCAAGATGACTGTTCGGAACCTTTACCTTTAGTGGATATCCCCCGAGGTGATCATTTTGATGTAGAGTTAGCATAGAACATCAAGGGTTGTTGGGTTGATACAGTATGTGCTACGCTAAGCGTAGGTTCCCCAAAGTCGGCTGTACTGAGATGAGTAGAGTCTCGATATTTGCAGTCTTTTGGAGTACGTCTTGCTATACAGAACTTTTACCAATTTTGTTGCCAGTCTTTCCGGACGTTCTAGAGCCTTCTTGTCACGGTTCAACCATTGATTCCATACTTGAGCAACGTACTCCANCGAACGCTGACAGCAAGCGTGGGAACAGTGCTCTTTCGAACTGCCCGAAAACACGTCTGAGTGGTCCAACTTACTTTAGAACCATGGTTGATGCTCTGGCACAGTGCATGGAATATCCTTCGTCCATAACTCCCAAATCCCTTTCGTCAGTGGCATGTGGTAATATTTGATCCCCAGAACAAAGGAGAAACGAGTCTTGTGCCGCATGGAAATAACTCTGCATTTGGAAACTTTGAACTTTATGTCATTGCGATCGATTATTGGTGGGCTAAACTGATCGTTTGTTGGAGTGCTATATAATCCTCTGGATGTGTTACAGTTCTCCGGGTCTTAGCGTCGTTCGCAAATAGCAGTGTATTAGGTCCAAGGACCTGTGGCAGGTCGCTTGTAAGTGCAAGAAAGAATCGTGGCCTCAGTGCCGATCCTCCATCAATACCTTACCTTCTCAAATGGAAAATTTTCCACTATTTTAATAGTATGGAGAAGTGAATATTATGTCGGACCGCTTTGTGAAAGCCAACATATCGTAGAATCATTAAGGCCTCTGTTATATTCATCCTGTTTGCGTTAATTGAGCACATGCTACAAGGAAGACATTAGTTGGGCAACTTTTCAATTTGCTAGTTAAGCGAATGCGGGTTTAATGATTTCTAAATATCTGTTTATTAATAACCTCGGAATTCCTAAATACTTCCCAAAAGTCTTACAGAACGTTTTCACTGAATACAAGGTACTATTTTTCATGTTGATCCTTCACACATCACTCGCCTTTCTAAATCTTTGAAGCGTGCTGTCGACTGTCATGGGCTCCAACCTAAATCATCTATTCGGCAGATGCACATGTACTGTTCTACCCACATGCGATGAGTTTCTACAGCCGCAGCTTGAGATATCGACAATAATTAAGGTGGGACTGTAAAAGAGCATGGTAATGCAGAAGTATTACGACCGTGGTGGTAAGTTACTGTGCTGACTGAAACACGGTCGGAAAGCAACCGCTGTAACCAATGGATGTATGGGTGATGGAAGGGATGGTTTTGTACCCACCCAAAATATCTATCTATCTAGTAGGCTATGATAGACGGTTGGTAAGAAAAAGAAAAGTTCACAAAAGTAACTCCGGGGCATTAGGGAGAAGAGCAAGAAAGGTAATCGGCCAAAAATATAGAACAGAATGAGATGGACGTAAGGGAACTACATAACAAAACACAGATAACGTAATCGCCACCACGAATACGAAGTAGCTGAATGTATTATCTAGGATTCTGAAGGGAAGCTTAGAAAAACGGGGAATGTACCGTGTAGTGTTTTCTCCGTGACCGTTTATTTAACTGCATCAGTCATTTTTTATGATGATGTTTTTTATGATACATTTGCTCAGGAAGTTGGATAATCTGATTGGCATAAGTGAGTTTTGCTTTCCGGTTGAAACTGGTTTTTCGCTGATTTAAAAGTGTATTCTCAGTCCTGAGTAACCGAGTTTCGACGGCTATTGTGCAACTAATGCCGGTGAATTGATTTTGGTCTTTCAAATAATACAGAACCCTGATCACCCATTTTGTTCACTGTTCTCGTTGCCCAACACTCACCTCAGGGGACACTCATTTAAATTAGTGCTCCAAAAATATCTACTGTAATGCCAGTGTCGTTTATTTTCCCTCAGGCTGTGGTCTATTTGGAATTCTCTACCAACCCACGTTGTTTATGCACCCACAATTGATTCTTTCAAGCAAACTGGGTNAAATCCGTAGCAGTGACGAAACAAGAATAGTTTGTGACATTCCTCATTCATCTATGAACCTTAAATCGATCGATTTGTGCTGAATCCTGTTGGATAATAGAAGCAACCGTTTGTAAACATTTCCTTCAATAAAACTTTCATTTGTCTCTCTCATAGCATGTCCATTATTTATAAAGCCACTGAAAGCTGACGTATGTTGATTCCTCTTTAGCAAGACAATACGTAAGGGATGTTATAATGATGAAGACGTAGACTCGAGTGACAAAGGTATAGACAGACCCCTGAAATATTCATCAGCGTTCGTTGAATGATAAAATTCAGATTTGAGATGTCTGTTTATACATGAACATAGTGTAGTTACCTGCCATATCTT